ATATATAGATTTTTGTGTGTTGATTTTATATCCCGCAACCTTGCTAAACTTATTTATTCTCATTTTTTTTTTGTGCATTTCTTTTTAAAAAAATATATATCTAAATATATATGTATATATATATAAAGAATCATGTCATTTGAAAATAGAGAGTTTTTCTTCTGGTTCAATCTGGATGCTTTTCTTTTCTTTTTTTTTTTTAACCTAATTTCCCTGACTGGAACTTCTGGTACAACACTGAATAGAAATGGTAAGAGCAGGCATAATTGTGTTATTCCTTGTGTTTGCTATTCATAGAACTTCTAGTGTCTTTTATAAGGTGAGCCTACTAGCAACACATTCTCTCAGTTTTTGTTTATCTGGTAAAGCCTTTAGTTTGCCTATATATTTTTAAAAATAGCTTTGCAGGTTATGGTATTCTTGGTTGATGGATTTTTTTTTTCTTTGAGCACTTTGAATATGTTATCCAATTGCCTGCTGACTTCATTATTTCCACTGAGAAGTCAGCTGTAAACTTTATTGCATTTTGTTTGTTAGGTGACAAGTTGTTTTTCACTCTGCTTTCAAAATTTTCTTGTCTCTGGATTTTCATGTTTTTACTAAAATGTGCCTGTTTGTAGATCTCTTCATGTTTATCTTATTTGTAATTTGTTGGGCTTCCTGGATATGTACGTTATTGTTTTCCAATACATTAGAAAGTTTTCAACCATTATTTCTTTACATGTATCTTTTCCTTCTCCTCCCTCCTGTGGTATTTCCATTACTTGTATGTTGGTATGTTTAATGCCAGAGAAATGTCTCACATTTCTCTGAGGCTATGTTCATTTTTTTTCATTATTTTTTCCTCTTTGTTCTTCACCTTTCATAATCTTTACTGATCTATTTTCAGGCTTGTTAATTCTTCCTTTTACCAGTTCAGATCTACACGAGCCCCTTTAGTGAATTTTTATTTCTGTTATTATACTTTTAATCTCCCTGTATGTTCCATTTGGTTCTTTTTGAATAATTTTCATCTCTTTTTTTATATTCTTCATTTGATATAACATCATCATTGTTCCTTCCTTTGCTTCAGTTATTATGCTTTTCTCTAGTTATAATAGCTACTTCAAAGTCTTTTAATGTTAAATCTCACATTGCACTGTTCTCAGACAATTTTTGTCGCCTGCTTTTTCCCATTATTTGGGTCATATTTTCCTATTTGTTTACATATGTTCTTATGTTTTTGTTAGAAACTGGACATTTTAGATGCTTGCATTCAATTCTCTATATCTGTGGGTTTTGTATCTGCAGATTCAGTCAACTGCACATCAATAATATTAATAAAAAAGAATAATTCAACAGTAAAAAGTAATACAAATATGTAAAACACTTTACATAACATTTACATTGTATTAGGTAATATAAGTAATCAGAGATGTTTTAAAGTGGAGGGAGGATGTGTGTAAATTGTATACAGATGCATCATTTTATATGAGGGACTTGATTATCTGTGGATTTGCATATCCAAGGGGCTCCTGGAACCAATTCTCCATGGATGCTGAGGAATGACCATATAGTAGCGGGGTGCTGGTCCCTTCTCCCTGAAGGATTTGTTTTTATTTACTAGGTTATTTGTTTGTTGATAGGGTCATTTATTTTAGTGATGGCTTTTTATTCCTCTCCAGGCTGGGCTCTCCCCTGTCCCCACAGTGTTAAGCCTCTTATATTACTCCTCAGGGAGGCACAGCTCTGGGTATGCCCCCAGTCATTTTGGGGTGACAGTGCTATTAACTTTTCTTTCTTCACCTCTTTCCTTGAGCAAATACATTAACTACTTAAACTCATCTGACTGCTGCCTGATTGCACTAATGTTTTCAGCTATGCCTTGGATCACAAATTGCCCTACAAATTAATCTACATCTTAGCTTATTTGAAGGACTAATTTCTGGAGTTCATTTTTGATATTTGTCCTGACTCCAGGAAGGGTCCTCCCAGCTTTCTTATTCTTCTCTTCTTTCCTACAGACTATCTACCTGTGTTCTAGACTATGTCTTCATTATATCTGTGAATCTTCTTCCAGTTGCCTTTCACCACATTCCTATTCCTATTCCTAAAAATGCTCTTAGGCTTGAGCTTCTCCATGCTCCTGGTACAAATGAAGTCAGTTCCTTTGGAAAGATATTAGGAGCTATCTGTTTTATCATCTGTTTCCTTTTGTCGGGAGTTGGAGTCTCACTCTGCTGCCCAGGCTGGAGTGCACTGGTGCACTCATGGCCACCACAGCCTCAACCTGCTGGGCTCAGGTGATCCTTTCACCTCAGCCTTCCAAGTAGCTGGAACCACAGGTGCGTGCCACCGTGCCTGGTTAATTTTTTGCTTTATTGTAGGGCTGAAGTCTCACCAAGTTGCCCAAGCTGGTCTCAATACCCTGAACTCAGGCAGTTCTCTTGTCTCTGCCTCCCAAAGTGCTGGGATTACAGGCGTGAACCACTGAGCCTGACTGTTTTAGCATCTGTTTCTATCCTTAGGTAAAGTCTCTCAGCCAGGGCTCTGGAAACTGGGATAGGGTCAGTGGCAAACTTTTTCCCAAGTGACACCCTTGCTTTAGGTACTGACTGCTAGGTGACAGGGTGAGGAGCTTGGCAGCAGTCTGAAGTCTCTCTGCTGGCCTTTCCTGGTGGTGGAATCACTGCCTCACAAGCTGGGGTGTGGGTGGTCAGTACTCCAGTGTTCTCAGTGGTGCTGTGCCCAAAGAGTCTTTGTCCAAAATTTAGGGGCTAGGTAAAATAAGAGAGCTCTTACCTCTCTACTGCACTTGCCCAGAACTTAGTCTTAGCAATAGGTAGCGGGGGGCAGGATGAGATAATCTGAAGTCTTGTTCTTCCTGAGAAGAAAGCCCTTCTGGGAACTGGGGAGAGAAGGAAACCTGTGTTCTTTACTTCAGCCACCTGGATTGTCCTCCTTGCTGAACTGGTAGCAGGGAAAGAAGACATGGTCTTGGTTTAAATGTTTTTCTTATTGAAATTTTGTAGATTTTCCTCAGTAAATATTTCTTCAATTGCTGTTTGCCTGTGGAATCATTTCCAGAGCCTTTAAATGGTGTTTTATATTTTTCACCCATTTCCCTGGATTACAGGGTCAGCAGGGCTCCTTATGCTGTCATGTCAGGAACCAATTTCTCGAATGGTTATAACCACATTGAGATTATCTTCTTTCCTAAAGGACTATAGAATTCTCCAGTGCACCTAACTGGGCCTGCTGTTTTTTTGGCAAAGGGGTGAAATGCTTACATTTTTTTTTCTGTGGAAATGTTTCTATTTATATTTTTCTCTTTTCTGGGATAACTATTGATAAATAATATTTTCCTAGAAAATTACCTATTTGATCCAGATTTTAAACTTATTTGCATACAATTGAGCAGAGTTGTCTTAGGACTCTCCTATTTTTTTTTTCTGTGTCTATGGTTATTTCTTTAGTGACTCTTTTTATATGTACCTTAAGCATTATTGTAATTCATTAATGAGATAATACTAGAAATCATTCCCCCCTATAAACTCACTGTTAAGAGTTATTACAATCAGATTTTTTATTTCCACAATAATAATTATTTATTGAATTCTTTATGCATTGGGCACTTTATACTTTTGTTTTATTTAAACTTTACAACAGCCCTATGAAATATGTATTAATAATATCTTAATTTTATGGGTGAGAAAACAGAGTCACAAAGATTATATAACTTGTCCTAGATGTTTAGTTTTGACTTATTTGTTGGCTATAAGAAGTTTAAAGTTATTTAAGACTATTAAATAAATAGATCTGTTTGCTTCCTAGTGTCTTAACCTACATCACCATCTAAAAGAGTAATATAATTCTTAGTTGTCTGTAACAATATATTTTATCACATGATTTATTTCAGTGAAAATACTGTAGTAGGGAAAAAGTGTTCCCAAAAGTTTTCTTCCTTAGTTACCAGTAATTAGCACTTACATTTGTAGTTAGCATAAGAAGTTTTCTTTTGAAGGAATATTTATGTTCAGAAAGTTAATGTGACAGTTATGGCATTGTAAATAAACATTTTGAAAATGTAAAACCAAATCATAATATCATCACCATAACATTTTAATTTTACTTTTGCATATTGCTTTCAAGTTTTTGTCCGCATGCATTTTTTTTGTGTAGGTACAGTAATAATGCTTTTTTAATGTCTCACATTTGACAAAGTGAGCTATTAAAAATACTTTTTTTTTTTTGAGTTGGCATCTCACTCTGTTACCCAGGCTGGAGTGCACAATCACAGCTCACCATAGCCTCTACCTCCTGGGCTCAGGCAATCCTTTTGTCTCAGCCTCTCGAGTAGTTGAGACTACAAGTGCATGCCACCATGCCTGGCTAATTTATTTTATTTTATTTTTTTTGTAGAGACAAGGTCTCGCTTTGTTGCCTAGTCTGGTCTTGAACTCCTGGGCTCAAGCAATCCTCCCACCTCAGCCTCCCAAAGTGCTGGAATTACAGGTGTGAGCCACCATGCCTGGCCTAAAATTACTTTTAAAAGTAGGTAATTTAAAAATTCAAACAAAACATGTTCTTAAATTTAAGGATTTGTGAGAACTCTTTGGTGGAGTTGGGAATATGTAAAAGCTACATTAACTTTTGTTTTGACTTGATATGCTAGTCCTTTCATCCTAAATATTTGAATGGAAAAGATTATTTACTAATAAGATTCAAGTCAAATGGATAACTTTGGTTTGAAATAATTTATATACCACAATCATAGACAAAATAAAAGATTTGTTTTTTTTTTACAGGCTTTATTAACGTAATATTTTAGTTGCATTCCTGAAATGAGGTGTATTAGGAAATATAGGAATTTGAAAAATAAAAGTTTAGTTTGATGAGCCTTAAAACTTCTCTTTAAGTAAGACTGAATAAATATGTGTGACTACTGCCCTCTTGGGTTGGCATAAGGGATATGTTTTTAAAAACAGTTTGTACTGAGATTTATCTTTTTTCTTTCAAAGGTGTTAAAATCATCACACAACAGGTTCAACCAAGTAAAATCTTACCCAAACCAGTGACAGCAACTCTACCTACCAGTAGCAACTCCCCTATTATGGTGGTTAGCAGTAATGGTGCAATTATGACAACTAAACTGGTAACCACTCCTACTGGTAAGTTTTCTTGAGCATCAGTTCATTCACTCATCCTACATTCATCAAACAATTTCTCTGTACCAGCAATATGCTTGACATTGGGGATGTAGAGATTAGTGAGACAGTTCTTCAAAGAGGCTTTTCTTGATTCTCATGCCCCTGCTGCTGTGAAATTAGCTTTCTCTTGCTTTCTTTCTGATGATCCTCTGTGGTTGTCCTAGACAGCACTTACCACAATTTCTTACTTAACTAGCTGTTTGTTGATTTGTTTAATGATGGTCTCCTTATTAGACCATAAGGTCTATGAGGGTAAGGGACCATAGCCATTTTCACCATATGTGTATAAAGCTGGTCTATGAGTTAGGTGTTCAGTCAGGGTTTGTTGAATGAATGAAAAAGGTCGCAATCACAAAACCTTACTCTGATGAGGTTGAGAATCTGTGTTACATTACAATGTAGTAAGCATTACTGATACTGAGAGAAGTAAAGGATGCCATTGTGCCCAGATAGGAAAACAGTGAGCCTATGCTTAGAGGAAGTGACAGTGTAAGACATTATAAATAGCACCATCCTTTGTGACCTTGAGCAGATTACTTAATCTCTCTAAATCTTTTTTCTTGTTTATTTAAATAGGATAATAATATCTGTGCCGTAACTTAATTTTAAGTATTAAATCAGGTTTATAAAAATTCCCCAACATAGTGCTCAGTAACAATTACTATTAATACTAGAATTAGCCATTACTATTATTTTAGATGTGTGTAACTCTTAAAACTTTTTGAGGAAGGTCAGTATTTAGGTGACAGAATCTAAATAGTGTAAAATGATACCTGTTTCAAGTTTGTAAGGTGTCATTTATTGACTAGTATGTAAAGTCTGTACCGACAGTGCACTTAATCTTCTTTAGGCTTTATTATTTCTATTTCCAGCAACTTGACATTAAGCAACTTGCCCAAGGTCACATAGCCAAAAAGAGACAAAACTGGGATTTGAGCCCAGATCTGTTTGACTCCAAAATCTATATTCTTTCTTTTTAAAATTACAGTAAAATATACATAACATGAAATTTACCATTTTCATGTTTACAGTTCATTGGCATTAAGTACTTTCCTATTGTTGTGTAACCATCAGTACCATCTAGCTCCAGAAATTTTCATCTTCCCAAACTGAAACTCTGTACCCATTAAACAATAACTCTTCATGTCTTACTTCCCCCAACTCCTGGCAACCACCATTCTACTGTCTGTCTTTATGCAAGCATGTGCTTTTAAACACTGTTATTCTTATGTTAAATTTTACACCAAGCTTTTCTCCATTTGGCACAGAGATAATAATGTTATGCATATATAATTCTTCATTTAGAAAGAGGCAGTGAAAAATAATATTGTGACTATGTTTATGTGTCTATTTCTTTTCCTGAAACAAAAGCTTAATTTGAATTTTTTAGTTATAATTCAGCAAATTCAATGTACATATTCACGTAGCATATTTACTTTGCATTAAATTTTTTTTCTCATGTAGATGTATGCTTGTAACCAATTTAAACCAATTTTACTTAATGTTCCTCTCTTCTTCCCTTTTTTGAGTAGTGGTTGTATGTTTAAAAGATGAACAACTTGCTAAAAGCAGTGTTTTTGTTTTTTAGGGGAGAGGTTAATTGAAAATGTATTGCAGGGGCCTCTCAAACTAATTATCATCAAAGAAATTTTTTCTGTTGAAGATGTTATCTTAATCTTTTTTTTTTTTCTTATTCTTCTAAGGCTATTAATTTTTGTTTAGGAATAGTCTTTCTGAGTGACTAGATTTATAAGAAACTACAACAGGCTCATTTGATTAGTTTTTAGTTCCTGTTTTGGAAAAGAGGAAAGTCTTAGAAACAGTAGAGAGGGTGTAAAATCTTTTGAGAGACATGAAAAAAAATATTCTAACAGGTCAGTTAAAGTTGAGGAAATATGTAAATAGAGAAAATTTCAAGCTAAAGAGAAATATTCCTGGCAACTCTTGGCAGCTTCAACTTTAATCTCTACTAAAATGATGGAATAACTCTTTGAAAGATGGAAATAATATTTAGAGGGGAGCAGAGTACAAAGCAATAAAAACCTGTAGAATTTTAGGCAAACAATAATGCCTTATTTGCCGAGTATTGACATTGAGTTTGGCACTAAGAAAGCATAAAACAGATGGAGAGACCTTAAAATCTATAGCAGAAATATCTAAAATGCTCTGGCAGGAAAGATGATTAAATTTAAGGTTTTTTTGGCATAAAACTAGTAGAAGAAGGGTAGTGGAGGAAGGGAACAGAGTTAGCTCTACTTTTTCTTGGGTTAATAATTTGATGCAACACATCACAAAATTTTATATGTAAAATTAATTTCAATTGACTTGGCTGTAGTACTTGCTATATGTGTTGAAAACTGGCTGTAAAATTATAAATTAATGTCTTGACACCTTGAAATTTCATTTCAAGTTAAAGCAATGTAGATTATATTGACTTATAGTTAAACTATATAAATTATCATTCTTCTATAAGTAATGACAAGTTTTTCTTTTGACTTTTCCCTTTTTATAGGCACACAAGCAACCTATACACGGCCAACTGTGAGCCCATCTATAGGTCGGATGGCTGCAACCCCTGGAGCTGCAACCTACGTGAAAACTACCAGTGGTAGCATCATTACAGTAGTACCCAAATCATTAGCTACCTTGGGGGGCAAGATAATTAGCAGTAATATAGTTTCTGGTAGGTATATCTGAAATATATTAAGGGTGAAGGGGTCTACAGTGAGAGGAGAAAACATACTTCAGTATTGAAGGATTCTGTTGGATCTGTTTTCTGCTTGGAAAAGCTTTGGTTTCAATCCTTATGTTTAGTGATTAAATGTAGTTTTTAGTTTAGTATTAAATATTTATATATAAAGCTTTGTTCTAAAATAGGACTTTTAGTAGCTATTAATCAAATGAAAAGATTATGGTTTATAATTGCATCAAGATTTTTTCATTTTCCTTCTCCCATTTTTCAATCCATTCAGATATCATAACAACTCTGAAATAAAGACAGGTTTGGGTTTGGAGAAATCAAATCGACCTGTCCAAGGCCATACGAGCTAGATAGTGAATTATTGGTATTTGTTTCTCTAAATATGTTTGAGAGAACATTTCTTATAATTCCAATTTCTGATGTCACTTTAGCGTATTTAAATACTTGCTTTGCACCATTTATATTAACTGTTTGCTTTTCAAAAACATTTACTTTAATAGTGAAGACTTACCATCTGCCTATTTATTGGTGTATTGGAACCATACCTGGTTTTTATTGGCTCATTCATCCCTGTAGTATTTGAGTTGTGGACCCTAATGTGGAATGTTAACATGGCATCTGTTTTCACTGATTATTATTTTTTAATTAAAATGATGTAAATAGTCTCTGATTAAGTGAGACTTATAGACTTTAACTGTCTACCATTTTTGTAGACTAGTCGTATTTTGTATGTCCCAGGTGGGTTATTCTAACATTTTAAAGTTAAGGGATTTAAATTCCTGGCAATAATTAGATGTTGCTGATAAGTCAGGGAGTTAAAAAAAAAAAAAAAGATAGGGCATGATATTGGCATAAAGCACTATATTTAAAGCTGTTAATTTTGGCTGCACTTTTAAGTGTAAGTGAGAAAACCCAATGTTTGCCAGACTGAGGAGGGTGAAACCAGTAGGGAAAGAATCATCATACTCTGACTTTTAAGAGGCTATTTTAAATAACACAGTTAAAGCTTAAATTATAATTTATTACTTGACAGTATCTTTAAATAGCATAAAGCACTCATTAAACATTTGTCAAAAAGTGATTATGTTTTTTATGACCTTAAGGATTTTACCTTACTTGTATATAAATTTATAGTACTAGATTGAAGGAATGTTTAGATGTCATGAGGCCTCTATTTTCAGACCTTATTCGTAATATAGCTGCTTGGTACCTGGTTAGAACAACACAAGCCAGCAAAGAAGAAATGTGATCTGAAATATATACCCTATCCACTTGTCATATTATCCTCCTTTGTATTTAATTATAAAACCATTCATGGTTAGTTGTTATTTTAAGGCATGGGTATATATGAGATGAGTTCTTAAACTTTTCCAACACTATAGGATATGCTTGGCATATAGTTGAAACAAGTTTTTTTTTTTTTTTTTGAGTCAGAGTCTCACTCCGACGCCCAGGCTGGATTGCAGTGGCACACTCAAGGCCACTTGAGCATTGATTTGCTGGGCTCAGGTGATCCTTCCGCCTCAGCCTTCCAAGTTTCTGGAACTACAGGCGCATGCTACCATGCCCGGCTAATTTTTTCATTTTTATTGTAGAGATGAGGTGTCACCAAATTGTGCAGGCTGTTTTCCAACTCCTGGGCTCAGGCAGTCCTCTTGCCTTGGTCTCCCAAAGTGCTGGGATTATAGGATTCAGCCACCGCACCTGGCTGAAACAATTTTATTCCTTGCATGTAGTGTATTACTTATCTGCCTCTTGCTTTGCCGTTTGCCATTTTTATTCCAAATAACCTCTCTTTCCTGGTTGCTCTAAACTGATCCTTATGTTACACATCATTATTCTTTATAAAGACAGTTCTCTTATTTTATGTTCTTTTTTTTCGTCCATGATACCTGGGACTGTAGGTTGGTTTATTGGACCCTTATTGTCTTTTCATAGTAAACTAGTAAGCCTGGTTGAACTAATTTAAACATCTGCCTTTATCCATGAGCAAATGCTGATTCTAGAGTCCCCTCTCCCTCAAACAAAAAAAGAAATAATTTTTAAAAATACACTCAGGCATCTAGTTGTAAGAATAGAAGGTTAAAAAAAAGATACATTCTCATTGTGGGAGAATTTGAAAGATACAGAAAAGTACAAAGAAAATTAAAAATCCATGATTTTTAACCATTCATAAAATTTGTTAAAACTTAGGTATTTTTAAAATTTCTTTTTCTATCCATTTGTTTGTATAAATGTGTTTGTATATATTTTTTTCAAAATTGAATTAGAATCTAATATAATCAGTTTTTATTTTTATTTCATATAATAATATTCTCATGCTTCTAAGCATATGTTGACATCTTCCCCCTCAATGGCCACATAATATTTCCTCATATAATGTACCATTATTTAGCCATTTTATTATTGTTAAAAGTTGCTTACAGGATTTTTGTCATTATAAATAATCCTATGATGAATATTATTATACATAATTTATTATTATACATAAGTTACTTCCTCTGAATAAATATCCTAGACGACAAGTTAATACTTCAAAATACTTTGTTAGACTAAGCAATTAAATGGAAGCCATGACTATCTTTATATGAACTCATATCTTATAGAGTCAAATAGTTATATGGGTATATGAGAGACTATCAGATTTGTAAGTTTTTTGTAAGCTTTGCTGAGGATTAGTTGAAGAATCATAGTCTTTTTATGCAGAAGATTGGATTCTTCAGAGTTGTACTCATCTTGACTTTGAGGACTTTATGAGAACTTGTGACAATGACAAAACTTTAATTCTCTTGAATTAAAGAGTACAGTGTCCAGGCAAGGAACTGTTGTTTACATGCTTTTTCATTCATTCATGTTTTTGAGTAAAGCAACATAAAACATTACCCAAGAGACTAAGGTTGTCAGGTGATTTAAGGATCTGTGAATAGTAAGGTCTGAGCCAATACATTTGTGTTCTTCTTTAAGGTTACCTACTATAATGTCTAAACTTTTGCATGCATCTTTTTATAAATTAGAATCCCTGGAATTTGTTATGTCATAGCCCATTATGATCCAAATGGGATTCATTTATTTGCACCTGGATCTTGACTCTTTATTTTTATTTTTTTGAGTTGGGATCTCAGTCTGCTGCCCAGGTTGGAGTGCAGTGACACAACCATGACTCATCACAGCCTCGACCTCCTGGGCTCGAGTCAAACTCCTGCCTCAGCCTTCTGAGTAGCTGGTACTTTAGGTGTACACCAACATGCTTGGGCAATTTTTAAATTTTTTTTTGTAGAGATGAAGTCTTGCTATGTTGCCTCTTACTTCAGGGCTCAAACAGTCCTCCTGCCTTGGCTTTCCGAAGTGCTGAGATTACATGTGTAAGCCACCATGCACGGCCTTTGACTCTTTATAAGAAAAAACTACATAGGTGGGTTCTCTGATATGCTATGAGCCAGATACTGTGCTAGATGTTGTAATACATGGGGATGTACATGAGTTTTGTTCTCTGTCCTAAAGAAGGCAAGCCAAGTAAGTTTGTATAGTTCTATTGTAACATGAGAACTGTAGACTGACTACTTTGAAAGCATTGAAGATGACCTTAATCTTTAATGAGGAATACTTCTTTCTTCGATAGAACATCGATATCCCCTGAGATATAGGAACATGCTCACTGTAACTTCAGTCATTTATAATTGATAATTCATCATAAATTTTATTTTAATATAATATCAGACATAGCTTTCCTCGTGCTATTTCTTTTTCTTCTATTTTCTAACATCCTTCCCACCACATTTTGTTAAGCTTGTAGACTTGGTTTGCAGCAATCTCATAGATTGACATATCTCTTTAATGGAAGGGATTAGACATTAGAGATAAACATAATTCACTTGTTAAGCAAGTTTTGTCAAAAAGTGGTCTTTGTATTTTGGTGTAGAATTAAAAGCATGGGTTATATTTCTTTGAGGTAGTTTTAAATACTTTCTAAAAGCACTTTTCATTAATTAAATGTTTGATAAAGCAGTATCAAGTCTATACAGTCAATCACATATGCAGAATTGGAGTTATTAATTAAGAGTTGATGTTGGTATAAGGGAATAATGGGCAGCTTGGTTTTTGTGATTCTAAACAGCTCAGCTCACTTATAGAAAAAAATACTTTTTAATGTAACCTCTGAATGTATTATACCCTGGGCTGATGAGATACTAGATAATGGCAAGTATATAAGAAGATATTTTTATAGTAGTATTTCCAAAATTAACATATGACTAGAATATACTTATTCTTAGTGCAATTTGTTTTAAAACTCTAATAAAGAGTGTTAAGATTTTCCAGTGGAAAATAATTTAAAAATTTTCTTTGCAAATATATTGGTTGTTTTTACTAAATAACTATTCTGTACTTAGTCATTTGAATAGTGATATAGCTGGGTATGGTAGCTCATGCCTGTAATCCCAGCACTTTGGGAGACAGAGGCGAGAGGATCGCCTGAGCTCAGGGGTTCGAGATCAGCCTGAGCAACATGGTGAGACCTCGTCTCTACAATAAATAAATAAAAAGTCAGCCTGACATAGTGGCATGTGCCCGTGGTTCCAACTACAAGGAAGACTGAGACAGAAGAATCGGCCCGAGTCCAGCAGGTCAAGGCTGTGGTGGCCATGAGCGTACTACTGCACTCCAGCCTGGGTGACAGAGTGAGACTCCAACTCAAAAAAATAACTGAAATAAAATAAGAAAAGTGATATATAGGCTTATAGGAGAAGAATATGATGTGCGCCGTTTTTATAGGCAGAAGAAATTAGAGGAGCAAAAGTCATACTGGGACTGGTATGCTTAGGGACCAGTGTGGAGATCAGCACACGGAAGGAGAGATATATGTTGAATAACCCTAAAAATTAAAGTCTGACAAAACCTGGAAAGCTAGGCAGAGGAGTTTGGGCCTTGTGTGGGAGATAATGGGAATCCATAATAAAGAAGTTGTTTGTTAGATGGGAATTTACAATGTGTACCCTGGGGTAGGAACTAATTAGATCAAATTAAGGGCCACATTATGTAGTAGTTTGAAACACAAAAGGGGAAGTCGGAACTAGGGATACAGTAGGGATTGGGAGGTTTTTAACTAGTTTGATATGTTCCAGGTTCTTGGCATATGAAGTTAGTTTTTTTAGGATGCTTGATATGACAGGGAGTACCAGAGCTGTTTGCATGATAAAGAAACTTGAAATAGGCAGTTTGGGAAAGGAGATGAGGCTGTTGAGCTGGCATTGATGACATTTTGAAAGAAGGCATGTTGGTGACTCATTGAGTTCATTCACATACTCGTTGAACATCTATTACTTGATAATTGCCATTCACTGTTGCTAAACACTGAAGAATCAGTGACATCAAAAGATACAGTGTAGAGCTTAAAAGGGACACTCATTTTGGTTTGGGATGGGCAAGACAAGCAGTGGATCAAAGATTTGCATTAAGATTTCCAACTTGAGCAATTAGAAATATATGGAGTACAAATTTGATAGGTGTAGGTTTGATAGGTAGAAGAGAAGAGAAGCAGATTATAGAAGGATGGGGAGAGAGGCAAGATAATATTATGCTTGGATCAGTAGATATAGACCTATTAGATAGATTTTAATAGTTGAAAATATGAATTCACATATGTAGCTATAAATTAGAGTTTTATCCACACACTTTCCAGAGTGCTGCAGCTTACAAAAAGCACATACTGAATCTGTGACTTGGTCTGTGTACCAGTGTTTACTTTGTCTTTTTTTTTTTTTTTTTTTGAGTAAGAGTCTCACTCTGTTGCCCAGGCTGGAGTGCTGTGGCATGGTTACAGCTCACCATAGCCTTCAACTCCTGAATTTAGGTAATTCTCCTGCCTTAGTCTCCCAAGTGCTGGGATTACAGGTGTGAGCCACCATGCCCAGCCTATTTCACCTTTTTTAGTCACACAAAAATACATGGCTTATTTCTTATTATAAATTTTCTCTAGAGTCCAGTCTTGTATGTATGTCTCATGTTCTTTTTTTGAAGTGTTTTCCCATCACACTAGTCATGTAGGTGTATTACTGGGTTTGGAATAAATGCATGTTATGGAACAGAGATTCTGATTTGTTTCATTTAACTAGTCAGAAAGGAAATATTGATGAGGAAACTGATAGTGGTATTTTTAGATTCCAAGTTTGGTGTGTGGGTCCTCAGATGCTAAAAAGATGCCTGCTTTAAGAGTCAATTCTTAATATTCTTTCATTCTGGGATGACTTATGCCTTACTATTCCAAGCCTTCATTTTCATCCTCATGATTTCACATTATCTCGGGATGACATTGACTATATATATGAAATTGTATACAACACAAATAAAAATAACCAAATATCACCAGTTCTTAACTCAGGCCTCCTTTTCTTCCTTCTTCTCTAAGGAACGACTACCAAAATCACTACAATCCCAATGACTTCCAAGCCCAATGTGATTGTTGTGCAAAAGACTACAGGAAAAGGAACGACCATTCAAGGCCTCCCGGGCAAAAACGTTGTCACAACATTACTAAATGCTGGAGTAAGTAAGAGCTTGGACTGCAGACTTAGCATTCCACTGAGGATTTTAAAGGCCAGATATACAAGTATTTACATAAGGATTTTAGAACCCTACAATGGCCAGGATAGCTTGGAAGTGATACAGTAGCTCTCAAAGCACCACCAACTGATGCCATTTTTCACAGTAGTTTCTAAAATATGTTGCTTATACTTGCTCATAGCTAGCTTGCTTGTGACCATGATTAGATGTTTACTGCAGGGGAACTTCTTTTGCAGTATTATGTTATTCCTGCTTAAGGCCAATAGTATTACCCTAATATTTGGCCTAGACTGAGCAAAGAGAAATATTTCAGATTTAGACTAAGCTAATTGATAGGGACTTTTTTTTTTTTAAAACTCTTTGAGCTAGTGAAAAAGAATCAAATAAATTCGTTTGATTCATTTATAATTCCGGAGGCAGTTGCTTACACAAATCTGGCTTCGATTCTTAGTATTGTAGTTGTTTGACTTTGGGTGACTTATTCTAGTTCCCCTTCTTAATTTCCTCATCTATACATTGAGAATGATAAGCATTACCAGTGGGTGATGTTCAGTAACTGGTAGCTATTTCAGAAGTGCTTGGAACAGTGCCTGGGTATAGGAAATCCTCAATCATTGATTTTCTTGTTGTTGTCATTCTTGGTACTTAACTATGTAGGTTTGATAGTATCTCTCTACCTTGCCTGACTTCGCTAGAAAATGGAGTGCTATACTCCATTTAAGTAGATCTTATAAAAGCATCATCGTCTTTACAATGTTGGTAGGGGTCCAGCATTAGTTTTTTTTCAACATGTGGGAAAACCTAGATTGTTCCTAGCCTGAATTTACATAAGTCAAGAGCAAAGGCCAGGATTAGAATTCAGATTTTTGGAACCCTTTGTAGTGTGATTTGAATGCATTGTACGAGTCATGTGTGAATCATACCTGTTAGATGTATTTGCTAGCAACGATTTGACAACAGGCAATGCTAGTAAAACAAGCATATCAACATATAAGACCATCTTCTTCACCACATAGGCCCTTACACCTGTATTCACCACTTGCTCACCTGTGCATGCCCACAACACACATAAAAAGAACTTTTCCAAAAAAGAGCCTGCTAGTTGGCTTTCTTTGGCTTTGAATGGGTCATTATACTTGGACAGGGCCTGAGGTGAATGGATTGCCTGAGTCCATGGGTTCGAGACCCATCTGGGCAGGCAAGACCTCATCTCCAATAAAATCAAAAAATTAGCCGGGCGTGGTAGCGCGTACCTGTGATTCCAGCTACTCGGAAGACTGAAGTGGAAGGATCAACAGAGCCCAGCAGGTCGAGGCTGCGGTGGCCAGGAGCAGCCACTGCACTCCAGTCTGGGCGACAGAGTGATTCCAACTCAAAAAAAAGAGTAAAGCAAAAAGTGGAAAAAATAATAAAGCAGGTGAAGGTATAGAAAATGGTGAAAGGTTAATGGGCATAAGGTATATAGTTAATAAAGTGATATTAGTAATATGCTAATAGTAAAACATGGGGAGCACCCTAAGCTTTTTCTTCCTTCGTTTCTTTTTTTTTTTTTTTGGAATTGGAGTCTCACTCTGTCCCCCAGGCTGGAGTACAGTGACACACTCAGGGCCACTGCAGCCTCAACCAGCTGGGCTCAGGTGATCCTTCCGCCTCAGCCTTCCAAGTAGCTGGAACTATAGGCTCGCGCCACCACGCCTGGCTAGTTTTTTTGATTTATTGTAGAGATGAGGTCTCGCTAAGTTGCCCATGCTGGTCTCGAACCCTTGGGCTCAGGTAGTCCTCTCACCTTGGCCTCCCAAAATGCTGAGATTCTTCCTTTTTTTCTTATATATAACCTTAGAAAAAATCTTACTATCTCTGCTGATTTTGTATCTTGCCTATACTTTTTCACATATATATTCTGCTATCTGTCTATCTACCTATTTATTTATTTATGTATTTATTTGACTCAGGAATCTCATTTTGTTGCCCAGACTGGAGTGCAGTGGCATGGTCATGGCTCACTGCAGCCTCTGCCTCCTAGGCTCAAGCAATTCTCCCACCTCTGCCTTATGAGTAGCTAGGACTACAGATGTTCACCACCATGCCTGGCCAATTTTTAAAAAATCTTTTTTGTGGTGTTACCTACGCTGGTCTCAAACTCCTGTGATCAAGCAGTTCACCTACCTCAGTCTCCCAAAGGCTAGATTACAGGCATGAGCCACTGTACCTGGTACCCTTATAATTTAATATATGTGGAACTTAAGGAGTTTATTTTGTGTGTGTACATTTAGCTGCTGGCATATGGCACAGTCATTTTTTTATTACATAAATATTTCAGGTCAATTGAAAATGACTGTGGGGGGATAAAACTTATAATTCCAATTCTTAGAGATATGCATTGTTAACAGTTTACTATATGTTCTTCCATAATTTTCTGACTCGATTATGTATGTATTCTATAAATGGGACAGTATAATAAGTATTCTTACATGAGGAAATTTTTAAAAAATTCACTCCTCACTAGACTTGGTTGAAAAGACTTGATCTTTTCAACCAAGTCATTGGCCAGATGACTTTTAAGATCTTTTCAACCAAGTCTAGGATTTTTGATCACCTGGAAGCATTATACTTTGTTCTATAATCTATAGTTCTTTTCCTATCATCTTGGTAAAAACCTTTCTCTGATATTTCAGTAAGAGGACAATTTTTATCATTTAAATTCATACAAATCTCTTATAATCATTTCCGTTTAGGGAGAAAAGACTATTCAGACAGTGCCAACAGGAGCAAAGCCAGCTATCATCACTGCTACAAGACCCATCACCAAAATGATTGTAACTCAGCCAAAAGGAATAGGTTCCACAGTTCAACCAGCAGCTAAAATCATCCCAACAAAAATTGTTTATGGGCAGCAGGGGAAAACACAGGTATGCTACAAGAAATGGTGGGTTTTCTTGGCTCTCATATATTTTAAATTCTTAAAATCCCCAGGTAGAAATTTGAAGGAAAGGATCAATAATCTTTAAACAATCAGATTATTAACAGTTATGATTGAATTCATATATTGTCACAACCTGTGTTTCTTTCTTCGGTACTTTTAAAAAATATCTAAATATGTGTGTGAAGCTATGAGCAAAGATTGTGGGAAAAGAATTCATTTGGAATAAAACTTGCTGATTTGAGTTGTGGATAGTTGAGGGAGGATGGTAATTATTCAGAATCTATCAAAGAAAAATACTTGTTATAAACCAAAGTGTCCTCTAAAACATTTTATTTACTTATAAAATTTGCTTTACTTGAACCCTTCATGATGAAGGGTTCATATAAAAATCTCTTAAGTTTTCAACCAATGCAAAATAATGCAACTTTTCTGAAAATCTGCCTAGGCAGTTTAGGCTCAGGATTTAATTATATGCTGCTAGGCTACTATTTATTTTGTAGGTACTTTACTTTTCTGAGACTAACAAAGAAAGCAGTATCAGCTTTGGTCAACAAGTGCTATCCTAGAATTTTTATAAAAGGTATTAATTTAACTTTAATAATTTACCTTTAGAATATGTTTCCTCAGAATTGTAGCCAAATAGTTATACAGATCTAAAAACAAAAAGTTTGTGACAAATCCAAACAATAACAGTTCAACAATAACAGTTTCATTTGCTCCATCATCTAAGTTATGGTATAAACTATATTTTTATTCTTGAACTCTTAGAAATGGGTAAGTTAATAGAGTTCACAAAGGTTTAGGATCTTTTGTATGGTAGAAATAATTAATTGCGATGAATTAGCATTTTTATCCTGTAGACCCAATTGAAATTAACTCCTAGAGTTCAAAATTTGAAGTGGAGTGGTCCAGTTTGAAACATGTCTCCCATTTCACTTGTTACAGTGTCTGTGGTTTTGGTTTTTGCTGGGAGTTGTTTAGCCCCAGGTTCCGTGTTGCTTCTGATAGTTGTTTAAATCAGCATTTGTCTGGGGTTTTTTCAACGATTACTTAGGTCCCAAGCAAGTTTACTTTATGCAGCTGTGTCAGTTAGGAATTTTATCTGGTTCCTAATGAAAAGAAACTTGAAGAACAGTGGCTCAAGCAGATTAGGGTTTATTTTTATTATGTTAATAAAATTTCAGAGGGAGGAAGTCCTAAACTGATAGTGCAGTGCAAAAATTCCATTAGGAATCTAGGCTCCTTGTGTCTTTTTGTTGTGCCATCCTCAGCTTGTGGCTGTCATTCTACTCTACAGTCTACAGGTCGTAAAGCAACTCCTAAAGTCATTATAGGCAAGAATAAACAGACACAAAGGCTCTTACCAGAATCATGGCTATTGCAGTCTGGCATGTACCACTTAAAATGTTGCATGTAACTTATACTATAATTTGTCTGTAGATTGTATTAATCTTTGATTAACAGTGCTGTGCCCAAAGTATAATAAATGTACAGAATATTTTCCATACCAGGAAAATAGTAGTTTATGACCCAGAAGTTTAGCATTTTAAATAGTGTTCCAAAATTTTATCTCAATGTATTTCTGCTTTTCTAGGTTCTTATTAAACCCAAACCGGTGACTTTTCAAGCCACAGTTGTTAGTGAACAAACAAGACAGCTGGTAACAGAAACATTGCAGCAAGCATCCAGGGTAGCAGAGGCTGGTAATTCATCTATTCAAGAAGGAAAAGAAGAACCACAGACTTATACAGATAGTAGTTCCTCTTCTACAGAGTCCTCCCAGAGTTCCCAAGGTAAGATATATTTTACTTCTGATTTATATAAGTACTGCTGACATAGTGCCCTAGATCAAAAATAGAAGTTGCTTCTAGGGATCTCACAACAAATGTGTATGCTTTGATTTGCCAGTTCTTTTGGTTTTATTTCCTTTTGTTTGGTGTTTAATCAGTGAGCTTAATTTTTATTTTTAGTAAAGCTAACCATTCTTTCCTGTATGGCATATGATCAAATAATTGGTAAAGTTTACATGATGATTTTGTCAGGCAGGTAATATAAAACTGGGTTGAGCTGTGATTCCCAGATGGCTGTTTTCATATTCTTCATATTTGGTTTGGATAAGTAGGGGAAGAAGTTTGCAAGGAAATGAATATACATTTTGAAATGGTCACTGAACCTTGAGAAAGAATCAAGGTGGCCAGAGGTAAGCTATAAGTGGGCTGTAAGTAGGGTGACTGTGCAATCCAGTTTGCATGGGATAAGTCCTAGTTTGTATATAGTGTTCTCTTTCGCTCTCAAAATTATCCCAATGATAATTATATGATTGTCCTAATTATGAAGAGGGAAGCTAGACTCTACAGTGTGAAATTCTTTGTCCTCGGTGCTGTTTTAATCATGTTGCTCTTCTAGAAATTCTCTTGAAATAAACTCATGAGCATACTCTTTGAGATCTTCTACATATCTAGTACTCATGTCTCAGTTATCTTAACTGCCCTTATTGTCAGGTGGTTTATTTATGCCTGTGCTTAGGCACTCTGATGCATATAAGCAAATCTGTTTATCTTTCCTTGTTCTTTCCCCACTCTCTCCATTCCCTCTCCCTGCCTCCTTATTATGCTCTCTGGATTGTTTCTTAGCACCATTGCTTTTCTAACGCACAGTCTTCATGTTGTGCAAAAACTTTATTATTTTAACTCTTTGATGAAATCTTTTTAGATTAGTTTTACATGGTTCATGTGGCTAATTAGTCCATTAATTTGACTTGATAATTACTTATTAGTTTATACTATGTACTGAGTATTGTGCTAGACCCTATAGATACTGAGTAAAATATACTTCCTGCCCTCCAGGAGCTTAGACTCTAGAATAGTGGTTTAAAAAAATTCACATCAACTCCAGTATAAGAATTGTATTAGTAACAAACAAAAAAAATGCCAAAGGCTGAAAGTTCATGCTCCAGTGAAGAGAGGATGAGAAAATTTCATGAAGAAGGTAGCATTCTTGAAAACTCATCAATTAAATATAAATTAAAATGTTGATTTTTAACAAATAATATGGCAGTCATTTTTAGAATGGCAGCATATTTTCAGTGATAGTAAAATATTCTGAGTTTGCTAAGATTCACTTTATCATTTTATATTAATTATGAATCAGTTTAAGTGCTAGTTAGTTACACTTGAGTGATGCTTATTCTCCAGTCATTTCTTTTGGACTTACTGATTTAGTATTTATGGATTCCATTCTCTGGTCAACCAATCAGCTGCTTTTCATCTTTTATTCAGTCTACAGTTCCTTGAATAATGGTGACCTTTTTGCTCTCGGGAAATGTTTTCATAGAGGGCAGGTAAAATTTTTAGCTTATGAGTTGGTACCAAAAAGGGGACATAAACAGTAGAAGTCTATATATACTTAAGCTCAGGTTATCCTTTGAAATTGCTAGTCCTTTCCTAAAGGAGCTATGAACCAATCAGTACTTCTCAAACATACCATTTAATTAGGTAAATCTTCAGTTTTCATTCTAAGAATGCAACAAAAACTTACTTTATTTATTTTTTTAGATTGAAAAATATAGTTTGTTTACAAAGTAAAAGAGAGAGAGAAGAAGAAAGGAGGTAAGATTCACCTCCCCAAGGTAGGGGAGGAAACATGGCAGCCATAACTTAAAGAGCCACATGGACACACCAGAGTTTAACAAAGCAATGACTATTTTTATTTATTTAGTGTCTTTCATTGTGTATTAATTTTTAAAAATATGCTATAACAGAAAGTTTTCACAATTCAGAATGGACATAGTTGGCTACAAAGCCAATTTTTATAATTTATGCTTGTCCCTTCCTCCATCTCCTTGTATAGCTAGCTACTTAGTACATTCTCACAAAGGCTAGAGCTGGAATATATATGCTGTGATTTAAAGAGAAAAGGATTAAGATTTTGGTCAGTATAAGGTTATATTGATTTTTAAAGTATATGAGGGCCATATGGAAATGTAAGTGCTGTATAGCGATTCATTTCTCCATTGCATTACTGCTTTTGTAGTTTTTAGCCACGATTTCTTTTTTTTTGAGTTGGAGTCTACTCACTTCGTTGCCCAGGCTGGAATTCAGTGGCACGCTCAAGCCACCCCGGCGTCGATCTGCTGGACTCTGGCGATCCTTCCGCCTCAGCCTTCCAAGTAGCCATAACTACAGGCACGTGCTACCACGCCTGGCTAATTTTTTTATTTATTGTAGAGCCGAGGTCTCGCCAAATTGCCATGGCTGGTCTCAAACCCGCAGACTCAGGCAATCCAGTCGCCTTGGTCTCCCAAAGTGCTGGGATTACAGGCTGAGCCACCAAGCCCAACCCATTTACCTTTGTTTAAGTAACTTTTTCTTTTGCTGTAATTTTAGACTTACAGAATAGTTGCAAGAATAGTGAAAAAGATATTCTATGTATACTTTTAATTTTTACCTAGACTCACTGCTTATTTACTTACTTACATTTTGCCTTATTTGCTTCGTTGTTGACTCTTTCTCTGCCCACTTCTACTATGTGTGTGTATGTTCTTAAAATTTCTTAATCATTTGAGAGTAAGTTGTAGGTATGTTTTTTACACGTACATTTGTAGACTTATATTTTTTTAAGGGTTATTCTCTCTATAACTAAGTTATAGTTATCAAAATCAATAAATTTATTGTTAAAATACTATTGTCTCATTTACAGTCCACAATCAATATCATTAATTGCCCAGTAATGTTCTTTTTTTGAAAAAAATTTTATTTTAAAGATGTGGAGTACAATTCAGGGTTAGGTATACAAATATTCATTATGCAGGTACCCTTGTTGATAAGGCACGCCCCCTCTCTCCCCTGGCAGTTTCCCATTACTGCCAATCCTGCCCTACCCCAGCTCTCCCCAGCAGTTTTTCACTACTGCCAATCCCTTTCTTATAGTATTATGATAATTATTCAAGATCCGCTTATGAATGAGAACATGTGATATTCAGTTCTTTGTTTCTGTAATAGATTTGTTATAGATTCTAATTCCATCCAAGTTGCTGCTAAGTTCGTAATTTTGTCCTTTATGGCTGTGTAATATTCCATCATGTATATGTACCACATTTTTTAAATCCAGTCCTCTTTCAGTGGGCAGCATGGATGGTTCCATGCTTTTGCTGTTGTGAATAATGCTGCAATAAACATGCGTGTGCAGGTATCTTTTTCACAGAGTGATTTGAGTTCCTCTGGGTATATTCCCAGAAGGAGGATTGCAGGGTCGTATGGAAGGTCTATTTTTAGATCTTTAAGGAATCGCCAGGCCGGGCTCGGTGGCTCAGCCTGTAATCCCGCGCCTTTGGGAGGCTGAGGTGAGTGGATTGCCTAAGCCCGCGGGTTCGAGACCCGCCTGGGCAGTGAGACCTCATCTCTACAATAAATCAAAAAGTCAGCCAGGCGTGGTAGCGCATGCCTGTAATTCCGGCTACTCGGAAGGCTGAGGTGGAAGGATCACCGGAGCCCAGCAGGTCGAGACTGCGGTGGCTGGGAGCAACCACTGCACTCTAGTCTGGGCAACAGAGTGAGACTCCAACTCAAAAAAAAAAAAAGGAATCGCCAAACTTTTCCACAGAGATTGTACTAGTTTACACTTCCACAAACAGTGTAGAAATGTTCCCTTTTCCCGGATCCTCTCCAGTATCTGTTGTTTTTTGAGTTATTGATGATGGCCACAATAATGTTTTTTATAGATTTTTTTTCCCCTGTCCACAGTCCCACTCAAGATCATGCATTGCATTTAGTTGCATTTAGCTGTCATGGTTCTTTATTCTCTATAACTTTAAATGACCCTTCAGCCTTTCTTTACATTTCTTGACCTTGATATTTGAAGAGATAGATCAGTTAATTTATAGAATATTCTCAATTTGGATTTGTTTGATATTTTCTCATGATTAGGTTCAGAAATAATCCCACAGGTGTGATATTGTATCCTTAGTTTTATCTTATCAGGAAATGCATGATGTCATTTTGTCCCAGTATAGATCATGTTAACACTGGTCATTTGATTAAGATGATGTCTTCCAGTTTTCTCCACTATACAGTTAGCATAGTTTTCTTTGAGCGTAATAGTAATTTGTAGGAAGGTACTTTGAGACTGTGTAAATATCATGTTCCTTATCAAACACTTATCCACTAGTTTTAACATCCAGAGTTGATTTTCTGTGTTGCTTTTTTTTTTTATTATAAAGATGTGGGGTACAATTCAGGGTTAAGTATACAAACGTTGATTATGTAGGTACCCTTGTTGATGAGTTATGACCCTTCCCTCGCAGTTTCTCCCTCAACTG